CCCGGTGTACGGGCCATATCTGGCTTCAGGCACAGGGATGGTATTGCCATAATATACTCCAGATCCTGAGGTTTTATAATTTGGAGACTATGGAGTTTCAACAAACAGAGTACTTCATATGAGGACCAGGTGGTCTGTGGGAAGCAGCGCTATTTTTGTAACTCAGGGTGCTGTCTCAGTGATGGGGCTTACAAGTCCAGCAAGATTCACAAATGACTGCACGCCCTGGGCAAACATCCTCCCGGGTCCCAGGGAAATACTTCGCAGGAAGCCGGGGATGTAGGTCTGGCTGAGAGTTCCAGGGAAAAGTGCCCCTCTTTTTCTTGCTTACAAAGTACGTTCTCACCACAGCTCATGATTTCACTTAAGTGCTTCAAACTTTTATTAAAGAAGTATATAATTTTTAAAAATATAGGGAATTAATGGACTAAATAATATATTGAAAAGTAATGATTAACATGGTTAGATCAGAATTAAAAGTGGAAATTTAAATTCAAAACAAAAACAGAAAAGAGAGAAATGAAATTAAAATATATAAGTTAAAGATCTAAACTATTTTAAAATAGAAGGTGAAATATAACACACAAGCGACAGTAAAATAATTTGGAAATGTAAAGAAAGACGCTTCGAATCCTCACAGTAAAAGGGTTAAAGAGACAAAAAAAATTGATCTTAGAACTAAATCCTCAAAAAGAAAATTTTAACTTGAGGTAACTGAATTGAGAATTTACACCAATAAATGTACTAGCGAAGGAAGTAGGTAGAGTTGGAGCTGAGGGGGGTCGGGCAGGTGGTTGGAAGAGACCAGCGCTCCAAGGACCCCTGCTCCTAGGGCTGGATTGACAACCAGGGATACACACGCCCCCTAATGGCTGAGAGCGGACGAGCGACACTTTCCTTATTTACTCTGGATAATCCCTGTCACCCCTCTGTCTTTTATTTCCCACATCTCTCCTTGTTTTCTGGTTAACAGAATGTCATTTTATGTAGTAGGATTATTTGTAAGAGCCTGTTTTTCCAACCATAATAGTAATAAAAGAAGACAGCTTATGGGACTAATTTCTGAAAATGAGGTGAAGATAACCATAATTAAATGCGGAAGAAAGAGCCTCATAAAGCAATTTAAAAAAAGCAGAATTTTAAAGTTATTCACATAAAAACTTATCATATAGAAGAAAGGGGAACTGGCTCATTTCAACTCTGAAGGAGCTGTAGCTTCGATAAGAACAGATTATTTCCAAAACGGAAAAAAATACAGCAAAATACTTCAGACACATAGCACATAACAACTAGCTAGTCATTATGGTTTTTTCTTGAGTAAGTGATCATCAAATTCATTCAGACCTTATATTTATTTGATTAGCTATCATTCCCTCAGCAAAGGTGGTTTGGTTAATGTCAAATTCAGTTGCTTACATCTAAGAGGCAGGAGAGAAAACCTGCGCTTTTTGTCAGATGTTGAGGGCCTTGAAAGTGAGCTCTTGCAAAGGGAGGAAGAAAACTAATTTTGATAGCTCAGGGTGCTGGGCCCTGTCTCTTCATCACCACATTGAACCCACAAGCAAGTTTATAAGGTTAGAAATCATCATCCCTCCTTGACTGATGGGGAACAGAAGCTTAGTGAAGTCCAAGAACCTGGACTGGTTTGTACCTGGTTTACCCACATGCAGTTTGTAAAGTGATCGAAGCTGAGGTCTCCCGTGGGTGCTGCAGCCCAGCGTGCCACCCACTGAGCTTTTCTGAACCTAAGTGTGCACCAGTGAAGGCAGTTTTCAACATTAAATGGAAAATTTTGTGAAAGCACTTTACAGATTTCAAAGCCTTAGGCAAATAGATGCCATTATTGTTGGTTGTCAATATTTAATGGGATTATTTTAAAATATTAAGGAGAAATGGTCTGATTCAGGCTTGCATCTTACCTACATTTATAGATTATTCCCTCAATTTTCTTTTTTGTGTGTTATATCACTTCCTCACTATTAGGCTGTGTCTATAGTTTGAAACTTTTCAAAGATATATAGCCTTATTTGTCAATATTTCTCAAATACCTTATTCTTATCATGTAATTCATTTTATCATTCTTTTTTTTTAACAGGTAAATTACCCTCTTTGCTCTATGTAAATTATACTAACTTTAATTTTAAAAAGCAGTGTTTGTTGGCAAAATAAAAAGCACATGAGGAAAAGGCAGTGAACACAAGTGGATGCCCGCGTCTATCCGGCTGCTGTGCAGGTGCCCAAGCACAGCTGGGAATCTCTGGAAAGCTGTTACAGAAACCTGGTGGTGCTGTGCTGGGAAGGCCGTGCCCCAAAGTGTGTTCCCTGGGGGAAAGTTCCTCCACCACAGCATAGGGACACTCACTGGTCAGTGAGTTCGAGTAATATTTCATACTACATAACCTCTGTAGACTTTCAAATGCATTTTTATATAGTGAGGACTCTGAGAAGTTCCGCTGTAAGCCTGTTTAACTTTGTAACAATTTTCCATGACTCTATATTTTCCGTGGACCACAGCTCTGGCCAAGGGAGTAAGGGATGCTGCTGTGAGTCTATTCCATTGGCCGTTTTCTGCCCATAAAATGCCAGTTTGACTCTGCTGGATTTGGATATGATTATCCGTCAAGGTATTACAGGGCTAAGATGATCAAACTAACATATAAACTAGGTTCACAGTCCAAACAGTCTACAGAGAAATGATGCTCCATGACAGTGAATGAGCTTTTTCATAAAGCTACAATGTTACAATAGCATTTAAAAACCCTCCTAAATCCATCATCCAGAGTCCTCAATTATTATCATTTTACCATATTTGAATTATCATACTCTTCTTGTAGACAGACAAGAGATATAGATTGAATTCTTTAAACCACTTGAGAATAATTTGAACAAGTTGAAGACATCTAGTAATATTCATCAAAATTCACAAATATTTATAATAATTAAAATTCTCAAACATATACAATTAAGTCTGTAATTTTACTTACAGTAACTTATTACGACTTTTTATAGATATGAAAGTTTTAGTCATAAGAATGTTGCTCACAGCAATGTTTATCATATGAGTAGAAATGGCCAGTGTATTCACCAATAAGCATTTGGTTGAGCAAATTATACAATGCAGCTGTGTACTGCTTGTAAATGCCATTGACCTCTGTGGCCCTTAGGAGAAAGTTCAAAGCTCCTAATATGTCTGCCGCTGTGGAATGTATCATTCTTCTCACTACGAGGACTCCTTTGCTCCTGTTTGATGCCTCTTCAGAGGAAATGATCACACGAGATACCCTCAACCTCACATGCCTTGATGAATATTGTTTTCGTCACGTAAGTCTCCCCAACCCTCCCTGCATTCAGGATGAAGTCAGGGACTGCTGTAAATGGGGGCTTCACCTCACCCATTTACAACAAATGGGAGTAAATGGGTCTCGGGCACTCCTTCCTGATGTCCTCCTCGGACAGATAATGTGACTGGATCCAGCGCAGCAATGGGCTCTCTCAGGAAGGCCTTTCAATGTAAGAGCAAATGAACTTGGAATACAATCAGAATCCTACGGGGTTTTCATTCGATAAAGAGTCAATTCCTCAAAATTACATATATTCATGAGAATTCCTAGGAGAAGAATGTCAGCCTCATTCTTAGTCACATCAGCTAGAAAAACAGATTCCCGTGGCTCCAAAAACGCAAGCTTGCAGAAGCTGTGCATCGTTTTCTAACCAGTACGTTTGCCGTCCTTACCAAGAACAATGAACACAAACATAATATTTCATAATTTCCAAAGGGAATCATTTCATTTTGACATCTCAGATTCAGACGTTCTGAAGAAAAAATAAACATAAACTTTCAGATAGAGAATGTTTGGGATTATCATATTTTTTATTTAAATATTTGGCTGGAAAATCATAGAATCTGATATAGCAGTTAAGAAATAAAAAAAATTGAGTATAAAATATGGCTCATAACTAATACAGACATTTCATTAAATGGGCAAAATTCTCGGAATAAAGAAGGAAACACCCCAAAACATAATACTTATTTAAAAACAGTATAGTTTGTGTTGAAGACATTGTTTGTCTGGCAGAAAGGGCTTAAATATGGGATCGAAAACTGCAGCCTATCTAATTGATTTGACCGGAAACATCAGTACGGAATCACCATTTCTCAAGGAATGTATATGATACCACACAAAACTTTAATTGTACTGAGTTTATTAATATTGATCCAAACATAAGAAATAAGGAAAGGACACAAAGCAAGACTTAGCTAAATTACACAAAGAAAACAAAGAAAGTCACAAGATTTTCAACTGGTAACAATTTTATTGTGGGAAATTGGTCTATTAACTAATATAGAAATAAACCTGCGACATCAACTGTGACTCAAATTGAGCCAGTATGCAGCACCTGTGACACCCAACGGCAGGCCCTGAGGTGCCACGTGGACCTCACGCCCTCCTGGCTGGCTCACCCCCACTGTCTGACCTTTGACCTGGAGCCTCACATTAGACCCCTCCCAGCACAGGGTTGGCAGCCAGCTCTGTTCTCCCCTTAGCCTACAGCCAGTCAGGTGCCATTTCCATATTTCCTGTTGCCTCTTTCTTTTCGGATCCTGACAGATCTCAAGGAAACACTCACCTGGCCAGTGCGGAGCAGGGAAGGATGAGAATGTTCCCTGAGATGGGTTTGGGTAGTTTGGGAACAGCACTAGACTCAGGTAAATGAAGAGACTGGAATGGGCATCACCAACAAGGATGGTGGCATGGGACCCACGGGTAATTCACAGGAAAGGACAGCACTGGATAACATTGAAAGACAGGAGGGACCCTTGTTCCACTTGGGAAGTCACATGCAAAGAATGATAAAGAGGAGGAAAACCACAATGGGGAGAGAGAACTTCCTTTTACATTTCTAAGATGAAAGTATTTTTAAAAAGGAGTATAGAAGCCAAAGAAAAATTAAAAAGTAAAATAGCAAGTATGAGTGTTAAATAAAACGTAACACAGAGGTAAATAAAAATTTCTTTTACTTTCACTTGACTTTGTCCAAAGTTTTATAAAGGTACCATTACCAGGCCAGTTTTGCTTTATTGATGATTGATACATTTTATCAGACATTTCTGAAAAAAGGAGGAGAACCTGTGACATCTCTCAGGTTCACTGGGAGAGTGGGGAGGAAGGGAGTATACGAAAGGTGAGTCTCCACGATCTTCACACTCGCTCCTCAGGCCCAAAGTGGTTTGACTTTCATGTTAAATGATAGTTTCAGATCACAGAAAACATCGTCTCCAAGGACTGCAGAATTAGGACCACAAGTGTAATCGGCTCAGCATGCTGCCCAGGACTGCGAAGCACACCAGCAGCCTGAGAGAGGAGTTTCTGCTCGCAGATGAGGAAGGAGAGATGCACACCAAAGGTTCTGCTCTGTATGGCCTTTCTATGTCTGGAGGTGATGCTGTCATCCCTTGGATCTAAAAATGGAAGAGCAGACAATGCCAACAAGTGCATGATTTAAGAGCAGGGCCATGGCCAAGCTCGCACGACCAGCCCTTTCACTTCTGCAGGGATCAGAGTGGTGGGGGGTGGAAGGACAGAGGACTGCTGAAGGTGTCAAACATCAGGAGAGTCACCACCTTAAGGGATTTGAGGGAGGGCCAGTCACACCCCTGGCACAGAAGAGACACAAAACAGGCTCCGTTGCTTCATGAAATAAATGCTCATCTCATCCTATTGCTGTTTCGATACAACTTTCGTTTTAGAGTAAGTTTCCCTCTTTAAAGGGAGTGAAATCAGATTTTGGTCAACCCAAGTAATCATTATCAGCCGAGTTTGTTGTATTTATGGATATTTGTCTGTTCCTTAGATTTTACCTGTTGGGGATTCAAGGTAAAAAGTGAGATGTGGTTTCCCTAAAGATCAAAACAAAGCAGGGCTCACCGACCACTCTGCATTGTCTGTCTTGGAGCATCTCACATTCACTGGCAGGCTGAGGACGAGCTTATTGAAGGACAGACCTCCCTTTGTAGTCCATTTAAACTTATCCATGGCCTCCATGAAGGAAAGGTTTCTATATTGCTTGGGGCTTTTGATAATGAAAGGCCAGGTCCTGAATTAGAAATAAAAAAATGTACAATTAGTCATATTCAGAATAAAAGCATTCCATGTCTCCATTTCTTTCCAACATTCTAAAATAGACTTTGTTCTTGTTCATTTTTACAAACGTAGATGACCCAGTGCAACACATTGATGAACCCATCAGCAGTTACCAGAGGAAAATTCATACTAAGTAAGAAGGAATCTTTTTAAACAATGAAATTCCTTGTTTTAATAGAAAATGAATATTACTTTAAGACAAATAATTTTGATTTCCCCAGACTCTCACAATTCCTTATTTATTTGTTTTGTCTCTAGTTAACAATATAACTGGTAAACAAACAGTTCTAAATAGTGTAATAGTGTAGTTTAAAAATGTGTAGGGTCTTTACAGGGACACTGACAAGACCAAAAGTTCAATTCCACATACATTTTTACATTAGAGAGGCCTGACCTCTAGTGGCTGCCTTGTGCTGGCTTTGCCTACATGGAGATAAATTCAAAAGATTCGAAAATGAACCAGTGTTTTTAAAATTTTACTGCAGAAAAAAACCATATTCTTCAGATGACAGGCTTTGCTTCTACTTTGCTGCTCTAAAACAAACAAATAAAAGCCATGTTAAATGTCCAAGAAAGAAAGAACAAATCACAAAATAACAAGACTCTACATTTTAATATTTGATCCACACACCTTTTTCTCTTACATAAATAACCTAGTCAAACATATTAATATTATCTTTTTAAGTACATTAAAAACCTTTTATTATTTTTAGAGTTATCTTTAGTTTAAAGATAAACTTGTGATGTCTAAATTAAAATTATGTCCTCCATACTCTAGTAATACAGTGAAAAAGGAATGCAGAATACATGGTGACTTTTCTATTCTTTAGTCCTAACTTCCTTTTTCCCTTTCATTAAAGTCAATATATTTTTGTTGAGTTTTAAATGCACTTTGTACAAAGATTTTAAAATTGAATGACATAAAGAGCATCAGTATTACATTACATTAAGCACATCCACCAATGACTTAGAATTTATTGCATTTTAAAATTAAAAGTGCTGTGAAGACTTATAGAGATAAATATCAGAATTAGTACAAAATAAAAACTTGAAGGGGACTATTATGTTTACATACAATGTCCTTTTAAATATAATAAAAGCTACACCTAGATTTTATTAAATATAAAATAGTTTTAAAATAAAATATTAAAATAAAATTTACTTTTCAAAAGGGCAAGGTATTTGAGAAAAAAAGAAATCAACTTCATAACTAGGGAAATAATGAGGGGCAGGGGGCATGGGAAAAGGACGTGAGGGGTGCAATCATCAGCCTGCAACCACCTCACTCACCACAAGGTGGCACTAGAATCTCTACCAATGATCCGAAGTGGCCTAAATCCCCTGAATTTTCTGCAGACTTGCTGATAAAAACGAATACTGTTATTATCGTACCTTGATAAGCTTTGCCGCTAAAATATATTAGCAAAGTAGGATATTTTGACATGAGGTATGAAGACATTTATTAACTTACTATACATATGTGGAAAAGATGTAAAAAGGAAAAACCCACAGGTTCATATGTTGGGGACAGCATAGCATGACTGATAACCTGGGGGCATAGTCACCAGCCTCTCTGAGATGGCAGCGTTGTCTCATGTTCACTGTTTCCTTTCCACCCTACTAACTTTTTTCATGCCCCTGCTCTATATAATAACGTCGCACCATCACCCCCAGACTATCCTGCACCTCACTTTTACCCCTGGAGAAAAGAGGACAAAACAGAAAGAGGAAAAATCCTGAACAAGTGAATGCTTTTATCTTGAGTATTTTCTCTTCTAAGACTAAGCTTTCAGCCAGAAATACATAACCTTGAAGTAGCACATTCTTCTGCTATCACTGAGACTGAGAGTTAAGAATAGCTGGGATGTTCTAGAAATTAAAAGTTACATTTCTGCACATCTGGGCAGTATGCAAACGTCTACCCCAAGTGAATACTCTAAAAAGGGTATTATTTCTATAGTACTGTAGTTGATAAAAATAAATCACATTAATAATTTATGTTAATGAGTCTTCTTTGAAATTTTAATCTAATTCACAGGTTGATTTAAAATACATCCAACAATGAAATAGACTTTCCAAAGTAATTTGGAGAAAAGAAAAAAAACAACATTTGGGGACTTATACCCTCTTATTTGAGGACAAACTATAATACTTGAGTGTGGTATTATATTAAGGCTAAACATGTACAACAAGGGTACAGAATTCAGAATCCAGAAATAGTCAAAGCATGGATAAATGGTTTTCAGTGAGCATACCAGGGAATGCTCAATAGAGATTCAATAGGGAAAAGGTAGGTTTTCTCCATCACATTGATTCTTGAGCAACTCGAGGTCCAGGTGAATAACAAAGAACTTCACATTTATCTCATGCCACACACAGATATTTATTCAAAATGTGTCATCAATCAACATGTAGAACCTACAACAATAAACTTCTTAGCTTTAAAAAAAAGGAGAAAATCTTTATGACCTTAGGCAAATACTCCTTACATAGGATATTAAAAGTACAAAACAAATCACAAATAATAAAATGGATTTCAAAAACCACAGCTAAAAATGAAAATCAAACCACAGACTGGGAGAAATTACTTGTAAAAATACATCTGACAAAGGACTTATATCCAAGCATAAAGAACTCTTTAAAAATAGGACTCCTACAAGTCTATAATTCAACAAATAACCCAACTAAACAGTGGACAAAAATTTGAACAATTAAATAGGAACATATATAAATGACCAATAAGCATGTGAAAAGAGGCTCAAGATTGAGTCACAAGGGAAATGGAAAACAAAATCACACCACATACATACCAGAATAGATAAAATTTAAAATACTGAAAACTCAAAACATTGAGAAGAATGTTAAGCCATAGGAGCGTTTCCACATTCCTTTGTACGGAGAGAATGCACAAAGGCCCACCATTTTGGATAAAATGTTGAAAGTCTTATGAAAGAAATGTGAACTTAGTACACAATGCAGCGATTTCCCCACTGGGTACCAAGCCAAATGCGCAGCAGTCAAACGTGTTCAGTGTAACTCGTGTGTTCTGCAGGTCAAGGACAAGCGCCCATTCATCCACAGAGATCTCCGAAGGGGGTGTGAAGGAACGACCCCACAACATTATACCCAGCCACGTTCTGTCCAAATATAAATGCAGAAAGTCTCAAGTGTAAAAGAACTCTGGGCACAAAACACCTGAAAGTCCTTCTTGATTAAATAAGTTGAGACTCAAATACTAATGAATCAAATAAAAAAACTCAAAAAGGCAGAAATCATATGAAGATTCAGGATTATCACTAAATCTATTTAAAAATTAAAGTTGCATTACATGTTGTTAGGATTAAGTTTCAAAATTAAATGTAAACAATTACAATCTTGATAATATAAAAATTGTAATATAAATAATAAATATTTGGAGGTACAGCCAAGGGGGGGTTAGGGGTGGATACAATGTGACCTATGGATGTCCTCCTCATCTTTCAGAGATCTAGAATCGAAACATGTAGTTTAGGGGGAAAGAAGGAAGAGAAAAACAATAACAAAAGAAAAAACAAGCAAATAATCACCCTAAATCCCAAATTTTAAAAAGAAAAAATAAAAACAAAAAGACCAAGACCAGACCCCACCGTGTAGTGTCTAAAAAGTGAGTGTTACATCATCTTAATGGGTTTTTAAAGGTTTGAATTGCAACCTTTATCTTTGTTTATTTTAATTGTTGTTCAAGTACAGTTTTCTGTCTTTTACTCCCAGCCCACCCCCCTAGTGCTCCCCACCTCCCTCCCATTTCCGCCCTCCTTAGTTGTTGTCCATGTGTCCTTTATACTCGTTCCTGTAAATCCTTCCTTTTTTTTCTTCTGAAATTCCCTCCCCTCTGTCCTCTGGTCACTGTCAGCCTGTTCTCTATTTCAGTGTCTTTGGTTATATTTTGCTTGTTTGATTGTTTTGTTGTTTAGGTTCCTGTTAAAGATGAGATCATGTGGTATTTGTCTTTTGCCCTTTGCAATAGCACAGATGAAACTGGAGAGCATTATGCTAAGCAAAATAAAGCAGGTGGTGAAAGACAAATACCTAATGTTTTTTATAATATATTTTCTTAACATTTGTGAGCCCTTCTATTACTTGCTGTCTCTTGTTGTTAAAAACAGCAGCAACATTTATTTGAAGTTTAATAACTCCTCAGTTTTAGTTCAGTTGCTTTTTCTTCTAATAAATTAAAGAAAAATCAAAATTTAATGTTTTTGTTTAAAAATTGAACAAGTTATAATCTCTATAACATAATCTATTCATCTTTATATCAATACCTACACAGGAAGGTGTCTGTAATAGCTTTCAGTTAATGTTATTAGTGTTTTTTTCTAACAGAATTTGAAGTGATAGCATTTATTCTTTGTCAAACATTTTCTGCATTACCTAAACTATAGTAAGCATTTGTGATTTTCACATATTATAAACATAAAGTGATTTTTCATATAAGTAAAAAAAAAAAAACCTCTCTTCACTCTTTTTTGGAATAGAACAAAAAAAAAAACACACAAGAACTTTTCCGTCACCTAAACCTTCCGGGAGCTGCATCAATGAGTGATGTTTCAGAGACCAGAGAATTGATAAAAACTCATGATCTATTCTGTCGTCTAGTTTTGTGAGTTTTTGCTCTTCCTCAAGCCTTGCCGGCTCTATGGGAGGCACCCCCAGAACAGACAAATGCTGAAACAACATGTAGTTGCCTCAGTTCTCAACAAAGCCATCCTCTAATCTTAGGGTTGCTGTGAAATGTTTAAAGTGAAATGGGGCACCTACTGAATTATTAAAAGTACAAAAGAGGTTATAGGCAGATAATATTCCTTTTTCATGTTGAATCCTAAAGCCAAATTAGCAATTTTATTTTGAACAAAAACAGAAAAAGCCCCCAAACTATTTCCTTTTTCTGATCTTTTAACCAGCACCGTGTGAGTTTGCCCTTCAAAAATATTTGTGTCGCTGTGTTGAACTGGACTGAACATCTGATTTAAAGTCCAAACATCTATTTCATAACAGGCTCTTTTCACTCATAAGAACAAATACATCTACCCTGTAGTTAGATGATTGTATGTAGGCAGTTACATCTCAAACTGGCCTTGTTCTGGGAAGCAGTTCTGTCCTTCTCAGGGATGAAAACGCAACTGCAGGACTTCCTGGGGAGGCCAGAGGCAAGGACACTGGAAGAACTCAGGGAACATGAAAACAGAGAACTCATGGGGACGTGGGGACACTGGAATGGAGCTTGCCGAGGCTTTTATACAATAGGAACCAAAAGAAAACAATTGGACCACAGAATGTTCAAAAAGAGAATGTGTTTTGAATCACCATCTTGTAAATACACAGCCTTGAAAGTCCATTTGTTTCAACATTCTTTCAAATTAACTGTTGATCAGGAAAAAGTCCCAGTCAATATGTGAGAAATATTCTAAAGGGAAAAAAGGCTACTTAAATGTTTGTAGGAGACAATATGGTATCAATATTTTAAAAACAAGACTATATTCTAGTATTTTTAGAATGGCATTTTATGGGCTGTTTTGATTTTCATTACTATTTTATTTAAAATATAATTATTTATTTTAAATAAAAGACATATATATTTACATATAAATAAAATCAGAGACCACAATACAGAAGCCACCATAGCTCTGTCATTTCCTGTAAACCACAGAACATTGAACAATTTTATAACCTCTCAGTTTCCATTTCCTCCTCTGTAAAATTAGGATGGCAAGTCCTGCTCCACCTACTAGAATTGTCTGTAAATAACTTACACGCAGCCATGCATTTGACAATACTTCACAAACTAACTTGTATAAGCATTTTGTTACTTGTGTCTTGGTGGATCCAGCCTTGTGTTCTGGTGGTCACTGGGTTGTCCTGATACAAACTCAGTACAACACATTTACGAACCATAAGTTTAAATTAAAAAGAGTGTTTTAGTTTATAATTTATAATTTTTATAATATTTAGAAACAAAAAGGAGACCATAATTATATTCCCCTTCAACATTTGAATTTTACCACATCCTCATTGGTTTTTTAACCCTCTTCTTAAATATACCCCCTCAAAAATCTATGTGTAACTTGCCTAATTACATCAGCCTCTTTCATTTTGAAAACTCTTAATCATTAGAAAATTCTTCCTTATATTAAAACAAAATCTACCCTTCAAGATTCCCACTAGGCACCCTAATTCTTCTCTGTTTTTTTTCCTACAGACAACTCTAATATATCCTAAACAGAATTTTGCATTTCTCCCTCAAACAGTTTTCCACACACATCACACCACTCACGTGACGTCATTTTTCCTTTGGTTTTTCCCTTTGACCGGCTCCCTGTGATGCAAGCAATCAGCAAGTCCAGTGAACTCTCCCTTCAAAGGTAACCTGATGTAACTATTTCTCAGTGACTCTACTGCCACCGTGTGGTCTGGGGCATGTCACCTCTGCCCTGGACGATCACAACAGTCTGCTGGTTGATACTATTCTCTCCAATCTTCCCCTCCTAGAGTCTCTTCTCAACACAACCACCAAACTGACTTCTTTTAGTACACTACAGTGTCTTCCCTTTGCACCTAAAACCCTATGTCCTCACATAGCCTAAGTCCTACATGATCTGCCCCACTCGCTGTCAGACCTCCCACTCCGGACCACATTCCCCTGCTCTTGCCAAACTGCCTTCGTGTTGTCCTTGGAACATGCTTGCTTCTACCCACCATCGGGTCATTACACTGACTCTCCCCTCTGTATAGCGTATTCTTAAATACCCTATGGAGTATTTAAGAATACTGGCTTCCCACCACTTATATCTCTGCTCAAATATCACCTCCTGCCATGGATTGAATGTCCCAAATTTCCTAGGCTGAAATCCTGTCGCCCCAGGTGACATTATTAGGAGATGGGGCCTTTGGGAGTAAGTCTCTGCCCTCATTTATGGGATCCGTGTCCTTACACAAGCAGCTTGAGAACGCTCCTTGCTCTGTCTGCCATGTGAGGTTACTGTGAGAAGATGAGCATCCAGGAGGAAGTGGGGCTCCTCCAGACACTCAGTCTGCCCGTGCTTTGATCTTGGACTTTGCAGATGCCCAAACTGTGAGAAACCAGGTTTAAGAGTTCCTAAGCCACCCCATTTATGGTCTTCAGGGTATAGTGGTCAGGCTAAGACACCTCCCCCGAAAGGCTTTCCCCACCGATTGACAACAGCTACACTCGTTTGTCACTATCTTGATTATCTTCATAACATCTAATATCTGAACTTTTATATTTGTATTGTTTATTTGTCTATTTTCTCTTCCCCACTTGAGAATATAATTTTAACTTGGCAGGAATAATGACCCTGTTTATCGTTTTGTCTTAAGTAATTCTTATGACTTGCAATTGTGCAGAAAGAGTTAACATGGGCCACCTGAGAATGCTGTTTTTAGCAATGCCTGCTTGGATGGTTGGCATTTGGCTGGCATCAGGGACCCTGACTAGCAACCAATTTGCTGTATTACTACACAATTTTCTGTAAGTGATAAGAGTGACTCTTCGTGCCTGGACTGTTTGTGCAACAGGGTAGCTTCTCCTGGACACCTGTTTTCCTCCTGAGAGTCTGGAATTTAAGTATTTTCTAGGCAGAGGGCACCTATATGACCAGCCCCCAATGAAGACTCTGAGCACGGAGTTGTTAATGAGCTTCTTCAGTTCACCACACTTCATACGTGTTGTCAGAATTTGATGCTGGTGGAATGACACACATTCTGTGTGACTACACTGGGGCGGGTTTCTTGGAAGTTTGCACCTGTTTTCCTGCTGACTTTGCCCCATATGTATTTTCCCTTTTGTTTGTTTTTCTTTGTATTTTCTCACTATAATTAATATGAGCCATGAGTACAACTATATGCTGGACCCTTTAGGTCTTCCTAGTAAAATCTCAGAACCTGGGAGCAGCCTTGCAGACCTGGACAAAGAAACCAAGAAGCTCACCTGGTTTCCCCAGCTGAATATAACCAAATGGAACAGCCCATAAGGAAATATGGTGATAAATTCAATATGAAATTAATGCTCATCCTTTTTGGAATATATTACCCCTACCATGAAATTCATTTATCACTTACGTGACTGGCCTGTAGATCTCCTTAACACCAATGAATTTAAGTTGTTCCATAATGTCTGGAATACTTGCACATCGAGTAAGATTAATTCTCGGGTAATAAAGAAGGTATGAGAGACACATTTCACTCCTGGTGCTTAGGCCTCCCTGAAAATGGAGACGTTTTGTTTAGAAAAACATGTGCCACTAACTGGGGCATTTATAGCACACAAGCCACCAGAGTCATACAGTTCCTTCCAGTATTTAAATGCAATGAATCTTAAAGCTGAAACATAATATCAATGACAATTTAGTTTGTTAAAAGGTAGTAACACATTTGAAATTAATAGAATTATTTCCATCACTTTAAAAGTTGTCTTTCTTAAATGACCTCATAACCTTCTTACATTTCTGTTTAAATGACATTAACTTCTCACCACAGTGAATATTTCAGAGGATCATGGGGGCATTTGGTTAACATGATACCCATCAGGCAGTTGAAAGAGTATTTGCCCGGCAGCAATGGATTTTCTGTAGTCTTATTGACATCTGTGTCAATAGCAGCAGCTGTGTAGCACAGGGGACAGATTTCACATTTTGAATCTAGGTAGTAAATTATCTATTAAAGTAAAAGAAAAAAAAAACCAAAGATCCTCAGAAGAAGAGATTCTAGAATTGATACAGCATATTATCTACACTGTCCAATTTTCAACTAAAGTTATTAAACATGAAAAGAAAGAGAAAACTATGATTTGTATTCAGAAAGAAAAAAGGTCAATCAGTAGAAACTAATTGTGAGAGAATACAGTCATTGGATTTAGCAAAAACTTAAAAGCAGGTATAAATATATTTAAGAAGTTAAAAAAGACATTCGAGTAATTAAAGCAAATATATAAAAATGAGTGAACAAATAGAGGTGACATCAGAAAGAAAAACAAAAAGAACAAAATAAAATTCTAGAATTGAAAGACACCATGATTCAATTAAAAATTTACAGAATGAGTTCAACCACAAATCTGAGATGGAAGAGGAAAGAATCAGTGAATTTGAAGGTAGATCAATAGAAATTATCCAATTTAAAGGCAGAAAAAGTGAAAACAAGACAGAAGCACGTGAAAATTTCCCAGAGATCAGTAGGACAATTGTAAGTGTTCCAACACCCATGAAATTGGGGCTCCAGAATGAGAAAAAAGAAAGGGTTACAAAAAATTAAAAGATAATGGTTAAAATCTCCCCAAATTTAGTAAAAAACCATTAACTTATAACCCCCAGAAGCTCAGCAAATGCCAAAGACAAATATCATGAGAGCCATACCTTGACACATCATAGTTCATATTGCTGAGAGTCAAAGGAAAAAAAAGGAAAACCTTGAAAGAGCAAGAGAAAAATGACATAGCACATGTAGGTGAACAATGATACTATTGACAGCTGACATTTCATCCTGCATGATGGAAGTAACAAGAAGATACTGAAATTACACATTCAACTGCTGCAGGAGAAAAATAAATTAATCAAGAATTATGTATTTGGCATATTATTTATCCTTCAAAAATAAAGGTGAACAATTTAATAATATTGTTCATGATTATAAACTTATGTAGTGGCTCATATGCAATGACTACACATTACGAAAACATAATGCCTTACCGTAGATGAACAAAGCAGGACTAAGCAAAGGGAGAAGCCATTCTATGAATAAGGCTGCATCTAAGACTGCTGTCAATACCATATTTAATCTATCCTTGAGCTGAGGTAGCTACTTAGAGTTTTATCAAACTGTAAGAAGGGACTGGGCTTTGGAATCTCACAACCACCAGTCATTAGCTGCTGGCTGCCACACTAGAGAAAGTATAACTTTAAGAGAATGATTCCCTAGCACCAAAGTCAATACCCAGTGAGGGATACAGTCATGGCTGAGGTTTAGCTGTTTTGGATCTGAAAAGGGAAAGTATCAAGGCAGAGCACCAAAATATACACTAAAACAAAAATTTATTATATATTTAATAAAATACTTCATGTAAACAAAATTATATGTAAGGTGTGATAAAAATAATGTTAACACCAGCATCCAGATTACCTTCTGTATGCTTCTTCTCAACTCTCCTCTTCCCTAGCCAGACCAAAGATGATGCTGATCTCAATATTTTGTTAATCTTTCTATTGCTTTTCATTGCACTGTACACTTAGTTCACTGATGTATCCTTAATACATGTTTAATTTTATATGTTCTTGAACTTTAGATACATGATATCACAACCACATAGAGTCAGTTGCAAATTTGCTCTTTTCAACCAACCTTATATTCTTCAGATACATTAGTTAATATATGAATGGCTTTAGTTCATTAATTTTCATAACTATATATTATTTATATAATATATGGGCATATTGTATTATATTTTTTGTTGTTATTGTTTTCCTTTAAATAAATAATTGAGTTGTTCCCAGGATTTTGTTCCTGGGTTGTTACATGTTACTATGAATATTTTATATATTCGTCTCCTGGAACACTTCCTGCATGAGTAACCTCAAGGTTAAATCCACAGAGGAATGGAACTGGGTAGAGTATATATCAACCTCCAACTCTACTCAAGAATGCCATGTTTTTCCCCAAAGTGGTTTTATACATTTATATTCAACAGCATGTGAGGGGTCTAGTTTCAATACACTGGAATTACAATTTTAAATATTGCCAAACTGCTAGGTATACAATATCTCACTCTGGTTTACATTTGCTTGACTCTGGTTTCAAGTAAAATCAAGGATCCTTTCATATGTTTATTATCTGTTTGGACATTTATTTCTATGAAATATTTTTATCTTTTGTTTCTAGTGTATGTTTGTCTTATGTTACTGAATAATAAAATTTCTTCTAAATGCTGAATAGTAATGCTGTTTTAATCTCTGTATTACAAATATTTTTTCCAGTTTAAAACTTCTTTTCACTTACTTAACCATTTTTTGTAACCAAAAGCTTGAATGTAGTCAAATTCATCAGTCTTTTAATTCATAGTTTGTGCTTTTATGTTTTGTTAGAGAATTCCTACCCACCCCAAAGTCATAAATATACATTCATATATTTTTTTCTAAAGGTTTTTAATTTTTCCTCTTTATGTTTAAATATTTAACTTATCTGGGGTTGATTTTCTGTGTATCTTGCATGATAAAGACATAATTTTACTTTTGTCATTTGGATACCCAATTGTGTCAGTGTTTTTTAATGAAAAGTCCATCCTTTTTTACTTATCTGAATGCCCTGTCTCTCCTAAATCAAGTTTCCACACAAAGGATTTGTAGGTCTGTTTCCACGACTCCTACTCTATTTCACTATTCTAACTCTGGACCCAAACACACTATTAATCACCATAATTTTAAAATAAGACTTCATCTCCCGTATTTTGTTTCTTATCTTGCTCTTTTTAGCAGTGTCCTCACTATTATTAACACTTTGCTCTTCTATGTAGATTTTAGAATTAACTTTCTCCATGTAAAAGCTAAAACTGTCAAAGTTTTATAAGATTACTTACTACATGGGAGAATATCTTTTTTAGCTATTTCTAGGTTCAAATTTCTTAATACATAGTCCCCAATCCTAAAACCTCTCTGAATTTTCACTGAAATTATACAAAATTTATAAGTAAATTTAAATAGAACTATTTTTATTTTACTGAGCTTTTCTACCCATCAATATAGTATCTCTTAATTTCTTTAACACATTTCTTTTATGTCTTGCTATGCATATTTACAATTTTTCCACAAAGATCAAACACAGCTAATGTCAGATTTTATTTCTGTAGAACTTAAGAGTTTTTAATTGTATCTTTTTTAGATAATTTCTTAAATACTAAAATACAGTTAATTTTAGATATGATCAATTTTGAGAAGACTTTTCATGTAGAAAATTGTATATCTGTGAATAATGTGTTTTGGTTTTTTGCCTCTTCCTTTCTGACCTTACATCTCATATTTTTTCTTTTCCAGTACAATGTGGAATAGAAATAGTAATAATAAATATCCCTGTCTTTCTGATTTTCAAGAAATACTTCTAGCCCTTGATTTAGTTTCATATTTGCTATAGATTTTTCATGGCCAATTTTTATTTTGTGAAGAAAATTCTCTCTTTTTTGGTTTGCTCTTTTTTCCCCCATGACTGACCTAAATTTTTGTGAATGATTTTTTTCTTCCCCAGTTGAGGTTATCTTTTTCCTTCAGTCTTTTAAAGGACGCTTCAAGGATGGCATTAATGTATTTTCTAATTTAAGCCAATTTGATATTTCTTAGAAAAACCCAAATTGGTCCTAACATTACATTTTTATATAGTGCATTTTTCTATAATGCTGGATTTGACAACACTTTTGTCAAAGATATTTCCATGGGGTGCATATTGTTGACTGCTCTCAAACTGCCATTCTCAAGTTTCAGTTTAAGATTGTGCTAACTTCATAAAACGAGTTGGTGGGAAATGTGTTCTCTGGAAGAGATAAGCAAATCATGAATGATCTAATTCTTAAATATTAGGCAGAACTCCCCAGTAAATCTGTTGGGATAAAATTTCCCTTTGGGGCCGAAACCCTAAGATCACGCAACTCATTCTTCCTTTTGAAGTCTTGATTCATCTAAATCCAGACTCATGTACATGGTCATTAGTAACTACAGGTCTTTTATTAATAATAGTGTGTGAGGAAAAATTAAAAGACTAAGGATAGCTTTTCATGACAGTGTCAATAAATTCCAGTGCAAATGTTACCATAGTATCATTAGTCAATCTGATAGAATGTTAAAACAAGTCTAATTTCACTTTTATAATGTTTCATGTTTACAACATTTAGGAATTTTGCTTCCCAATGGGAATGTTTTCTATTCTCGTTCTTTAAAATCAAAGTTTATTCCTCCCTTCCTTCAAATAAATTTTCATAATAAAAATGTTCTTACCCAAGTCATCAGGTCTCTATCTTCCGTGTTGTAGCGACACTCAGTAATTAGATTATCTCCCTAAAACATAAAAGTATGAGCTTTCAGATTGGAGTTTTATGCTGTCCCATTTCTCTAATACATCTGTAGGCCAACAGTTGAATTTGCTATATGAAGGAATGCATTAAGTAATTTCATTCGGGAGAAGACCCTTCATCTATTAAATTCTCAACCAACAAGCAAGCAAGCAAACAAGCCAGGCTCCCTGGGCTCAGGGGAGCCCCACCATGTGTGAGCTGCGTGACCTTCAGTAAGGAAATGACTCATCCGGGCACAGCGTGTTCACATAAAAAATAATGATAAAAATAGCACTTATTTTGTACAGCTGTCCTGAGGGGATTCAATGGCAAAACAAATCCTTAGTAGAGATTAAGCACTTCATAAATGTTAGCCAGAGATACTAGATATGGTGATTATCTCTTCTTTTACATTATTTTCTTTTGGCATCTTTAGTCATGTCTTTATTTCCTGACAGCAGAATTGTGAGGTAAATTAATAGTAATTTATTTTTCCAGTGTCTACCAATCGTTTGGACAATTCAGCACACGTAGAAAATAATACTATTTTAGGCTGCCCACTCAGGTAAGTGGACCGGCTATTTCTGGATCAGACACGGGTAACTTGGGTGCTAGCCCTCAGATTCTTCCTCCTTGCCCCGCCAGTCGGAGGGACCAGGGATCAATATCTCAACACACTTATATGCTGCTCACAGACCACTGGTTGGGAAGCTCTGAGATAACACAGTAAAACTGATTGGAAAGCCCCAAGACAAGAGCAGGCACAAAAGAGAGTGAAGAATCTTGACTACATCCATGTTTCTCACACTTCATCTTTCAATTCTCAGGGTGTATCAAAGAATTTCTGCATGTAGAAAAGATATAGCTATTACTCTCATTTCAAAAAGAGTATATAAAAATTGAACTTTTAAAAATAAAATGGGATAAACATTTTTGAAAAAAATGAAGCATCACCAAAATAGAAAAAAACTCCTTTTTAAAACCTTCATTATTGTAAGGCATACATTCTCTTCGTGTCCCTCTGCCATGGACCCAAGTATTGGTGCAAGTAGGTTACAGAGCACAAGATAATTAGCCATGTCTGAACACCACTGTCAAATAAGAGAGTTACCTTTGTAACCATGTTTACTGAAATGAAGCTTTAAAAAAATATATCCTATGGAATAAGGAAAGCTCTGATTCACCATGACTAGAATTGCAGCCAAAAATTTCAACTGGGGAGTCAAGTAAAAGAAGAGTAATGTTAGTGCTTGGAACCAAATATTTACTTTTTTAAAATCAATAACTCGAAGTGCCCCTGGGAATAGCAAGAAAAATAAGTTTTGATTTTGGAAAACAGATCAAACACGTTCCATCTGCACTGTGCATCACCCATTGTGGGTGGTTTAAGAATAAGTGAAGAATTCATTTCACCAGTAGAAACCTTGCTAATTCTCAGCGGATACATGTCTCATGACTTTTATAACATTCATTGAGAAAGAACAAAACATTCATACTGGTAAGATTGTTTGTTCTTCTTTTAGGTACTGAAACTCCTGGAAATTGAAGTCAAAATTGTCATCATAAGCAAGTAATCTCATTTCCTCCCCTTTTCGAAAATGCCGCAGCCTGATGCCTCTGCCGGCCAGGTGAGCGTGGAGAAGAACAGCAAACACGCGGACTCCACTGGGCTTTTCCGCTTCCAGAGCCTACAGGTTGGGGGTGGGGAGAGAGGAAGACTCGATTAGCCCAAACAAGGGAGTATTCAGACAGTTCTTGTTAAAAGTGACTTGGAAGGACAACTGAAAAGAAAAGCTAAGGCAATTTGAATGAGTGCTCGAGCCACCAAACATTTAGAATTTGGGTTTTCCATGACATTCCTGCCAGTGTTATCATTGTGAAGCAACATTTGTTGGAACACTTCTAAATGTTATATTTCTTTTTCCTTCTTTTAAGAGGTAAACAGGAAGTCAAAGCTCCTGGCAAAAATATTCTGGTATGTTAGAAACCTGCAAATTAAAACTCTTAAAAAGACAAATTATTTACGGATAAGAAAACCAAGTGGGAGAGATGCATTAAACGGGCTTGTCCATGGTCCTACAGCTTGTAAGTGATGTAATAGCAATTTAAATTTCAATCTAAATAACTCACAAGAGCATATTTCCAATTCACCAGCCTCCCACACTGCCTATAATCACACCATCTTTTAATTCATAAAGAATCTGATCCATGTTAAAACACTTTCATTCAATAGAAATGAATATAAATGAAAGCAGCCATTGTTAAATAATTACACATAGTTTTATCTTATCCAATCTGTATTTTTAAATATAGTTTATGGATTATGCTATTATGGTTTGCTTATTCCCCCCTTTTTTCCCCTTCACCCTGCACACCCTCTCCTACCTGCACCCCCCCCCCACGCCTTAGTTCATGTCCATGGGTTGTACATATAAGTTCTTTGGCTTCTCCACTTCCTATACTATTCTTAACCTCCTGCAGTCTATTTTCTACCTACTATTTATGCTGCTTATTCCCTGTACCTTTTCCTCCATTCCTTTCCTCCCTGCTGATAACCCTCCATGTGATCTCCATTTCTGTGATTCTGTTTCTGTTCTATTCTTTGCTTAATTTGTTTTTGTTTTCATTCTTGCTGGATTTGATTATTGATAGTTGTGTTTGTTGTCATTCTACTGTTTATATTTTAAATTTGTTATTCTTGCTCTTTGGTTAAAGAAGGGAAGGAAACTATGAAGCAAAGAAAAAGAGAGAACATTAAAAATAAATAATGGAAAAATTGAGATGAAAGGTGAAGTTGAGAAAAGAAACTACATGAACAGAAAAAGAAATTTTAAAAGATAAACTGAAGTGTCCAATATGAAACAAGCATAGGAGGTAGTACTAAGACCAAAAACATGCTGAGTCATTCTTATCTTCAGAATGCTACTCCTGTAGCCTTCAAGATCTGAAAAAGCAATCAAAGGCCTTGCTAAAATTGAAATAATGGTTTTGTAGTGTGACAATAAGAAAAACGTTGATAATGAGCAAGTAGGAATTTTTCCCAACAGAGTTTTCTAAGAACGTTGACTGATCTGTCCAGAGCAGCAGGCAGATGGAGACACAGCATACCTCTCCCAGGCACTCCAGAGTGCAGTGACCCTCGGACTGGAACTCCGGCATGCCAGGAGGGATGGTGTGGAAGAGGCTTACCCAGAGGCCAGCCTCGATCACCCCGGCGTCGTATTTCCTTATATCTGCTGTGTGAAATAACCTCAGTCCAGAGTTATCTATTAAGCCTGGAACAAGAGCATATATATAATTAAAAGTGAGTTTACACTCTTAAAAAAATAATCCCTCTGTGCAGTTGAAGTGTTTCATTAATTTTTCTTAAACTGTCACAAAAAAAGGGATACAAGCAAAGATTAATGAAATTAAAATGGGGATTAAAAGATGAGTCGCCATATTGTCTGCATTCACAGGAGAAATGTTTATATTGACTAGCTGATCTATTCCAATGATCTAAAATGAAGACAGTCCTTTATTTGGCCTTCTATCTTGATTGAGAGCCTTGTTGCATAAAGTAGCCTTGGTTGTAGGCCTCTGGTTCTCATTACTTGGAATATTTCTTGCCATTCTCTTCTTTCTTGGAGTATTTCCATTGGGAAGTCAGTAGCTAACCTTATTGGGGCTCCACAATTCCACTGCTAGGATTATATCCTAAGAATCCTAAAACATCAATTTCAAAGAACCTATGCATCACAATGTTCATAGCAGCACAATTTACAATAGCCAAGAGTTGGAAGCAACCTAGGTGCCCATCAGTAAATGAATGGATCAAAAAATTGTGGTACATATACACAATGGAATTCTATGCAGCAGAGAGAAAGAAGGAGCTACTACCCTTTGCAACAACATGGATGGAACTGGAAAGCATTATGCTGAGTGAAATAGGCCAGGTGTTGAAAGACAGATACCATATGATCGCACCTTTAACAGGAAGCTAAACAACAAAACAAACAAGCAAGCAAAATATAACCAAAGACACTGAAATAGAGAACAAGGGGACAGTGACCAGAGGGGAGAGGGAAGGGAATTTAAGGGGAAAAAGGGGGAGGGATTTGGAGGAACAAATAGGAAGGACACAGGGACGAGAACTAAGGGGGGTGGAAATGGGAGGGAGGTGGGGAGCAAGGGGCGGGGGAGGCTGGGTTGGGAAAAATAGACAAAAAACTGTACTTGAAAAATAACTAAATAAAATTAAAAAAATTATTTGTTAATAAAAGGATATAAATTGAAAAAAATTATTTTCTAGAGTTCCTCTTTCTGAAGTACATTATTACTGTATAAGAATCCAACTGGTTTTTAAATATTTTGTATCCTGCTACTTTAATGAATTTATTTATTAGTTCTAGTAGTTTTTTTGGTGGAATCTTTAGGCTCCTCTCTATGTATAGTATGATGTAGTCTGTGGATAGTGACAGTTTTGCTTCTTCTTTTTAAATTTGGTTGCCTTTTTTTTATTCTTGTCTGACTGGTGTGGTTGGGACTTTCAGCTGTGTTGAAGAAGAACGGTGAGGGTTGACAGGCCTGTCTTCTTTCTACTTTTAAGGGAAAGGCTTGATTTTCCTCATTGCATATGGTGCTACTTGTGATTGTGTCATAAATGGCTTTGTTGTGTTTGGGTATATTCCCTCTGTTCCCACTTTACTGAGAGTTTTTTTAGTATTATAGATGAGTCCTGGATTTTGTCAAGTGCTTTTCTGCTTCTATTGATATGATCATGTGATTTTTGTTCTTCATTTTGTTCATGTGGTGTATTATATTGATTGGTTTGTGAGTGCTGTACAAACCTTGCATCTTAAGATTAAATTCCACTTGATCATGGAAAAAAAATAAAATGAAGACAGAAGGAAAATCTTAAAGTCATTCATTACTGTTAGAAGAACTCAACAAAAAGTCTTATATGGTTTTCTGGTGAAGTTCAATAACATTTACCCGAAGGTGAAAACCAACCACTTGGTTGAGAAACCATGGAGAAAAATATTAATAATTAACTTTCTATATAGTTTGTCACTATCTTTTCAATCATTCAGCAGTTATTCAATTAATACTAATTGAGACTTTATTATGTGAAAAGCACTGCAATAAGCATTGTGGAATGAAAGATGAATAAGACACATTCCTTGTTTTGACATACTTATAAGGAGGGAACATATGAATCCCAAATTCCATACATCTGTTCCGTTAGTTTGGAAATTAGTAGACTCCTTTCTGCAGTGGTGACGTACCTACCTATGAATACCAAATTAACCCTTTGGGTCAATTAGTATATATTATATATAATTTTATATTAATTGGTGTGATTATTCTATTGTTTTCCTTTCCTACTGCACTATAATTTCCACGTGGATAAAAACAGGTTGTTTTGCACAAGCATTATATCATTAAGCACAGCCCCAGCACATGGTGTTCAATATTTGCTGAACAAATGCATGAATTGATATAAAACAACAGCTTTATATTGCTTCTGTTGATGATTTCATATTAAATCTTTCAATATATTGGGTTTGGAATATTACATAAGTAAATTCAGCAATCAAATGTACATATGTATCCCTCTTCATTTCAATATCATATCGTGTAGTGTCTCTAAGTACTTATTGAGTATATTTATGGTTTTCCTTTCACACAACAAAATGCTTAATATTTCCTAGTGTGATAAATGGTAGTTTTTCATATGTGTAGCTAGAAAATGTTTCATAAGCACACTGTATTTGGGACTAATTTACATAACAAGGGGAAGAGTATTCTTCTACTTCCTGGTAAGTAGTACGCAAACTTTGTTTAAGATTAATGACCACAAGGCCCATCTGCTGTGTTCATTTGCTGGTTCATTACTCTTGTCCCAATGTAATTATTAACAGTTCTCTCTTTTACTTTAAAAAGTATCCTAATTTGGATCATAAACATAAAATTTTATTCTAACAATGGGTGCTATTTTATTTCAACTCTAAGACAGAAGTTACAAAACTTTTTAAAATCATAGGTAGAATATATGAAGAACAAACTCACCTTCCTTATATGCCGGGTTGTCATAATGAACTTCCAGAAGTACATAACGAGGATCTAATGGAGTGCCAAGGGATAATCCAACATGAGGCGGATAGGAAAAACCCTAAATCAGAAAAATTTCATGAGACAGTGTCCTATGAAAGTGCCTGAAAGCTTTACTCCACTCAAAAACCAACCATTCTGAAAGAGATTTCAACATACTGGAACTCCACTAATCAATAGCTAATAAGGTAAAAAGGATTAAGGAAAGAATTTCTTTCCTTGGAAAGAAAAATAAGCCACCCTCATATCAAAAATAATGTGTAGCTTTACTTATAAGTATTGGAATCGTAGAGAAAAGCATGATCAGTTCATTGTTACATCTCAGTAAATACTAGCCTCACCTCTCCACCAATGGCCCAGGCAAACACAACAGTCTCGCAGGTGTGGAATGCATCGGGCATATTGGGGTGGTAGCACTCGTGGCCATAGTCCAGAACACTGTCGTTCAAGTTGCTGCTGCACTGATAGAGCAGGATGTGATGGACCAGACTCTCGTGGCCTCTCTGTATCACGGGCTCCACCTAAACAAGCACGGAGCAGAGAGAGGAGGCAATACATTAAATCAGCCCACCACACGGCACAAGCCTGGGACTAGCATAACTGATGATCAGTTTCTCAAAGAAATGGTTTTCTCAGTCATGTAAAGGTTGTGTGGCTCAAGTATAATTTGTTGTAATGATGACAACAACAACCACGGAAACAACAAAAAAGGAGATAACAACTCCAAGAATCACAGGACTTTATTAATCCTTTTTTTAAAATTTCCCTTCCCATTCTGCATAACAGATGTTTCAAAACTTGCTTGCCTTCTGCCAAGCTTTACTTCTCCCTTGCTCCTCTTCCCTTGTTTTTCACTTCCAAATAGAAAAAAAAATCAAGGCACCTCTACTGAAGGTGAGAGATGATGTCTCATGCATCTAGCTTCTCTATTTACCTGTCTGTCTTCTTAATGCTGAGCACAGAGCTGAGCACAAAATAAGGGTCAATAATGGGTACTTTTATTTTAGGATTTAAAAAGAAATTCTATTAAGAATTTGACTATTAGAATTTGGGAGAGAAGAGAGAAAACACTGTAGTGATGTGCTCCTGTGACACCCCTAAAAATAGGAAGGGGAAGCAGTGAAAATAGAATCAGCAGGGAAGTTAGTCCTTGAAGTGAAAGCACGGTCCATGGGAGCAGGGCTCCTTCCACTGCCCCTTCCATGAGCTCCCTTCAGAACACTCTCCCACATCAGCCAGGGAGCTCAGAGAGAGCTCAGCATATCCTCACATCCCAAAAAGCTTTCTAGCCAGAGAGAATGCATGAACCTTGTACTTAGCCTAGTTGAGTTATTGATGCTGCCACCAGTTGCACGATTCTTTGAACCTTCTATTTATCAGACAAAGAAACCCTAGTGTGTCCCTAAATTTCCAAAAGTTAAGCTGTTTTAGGGCTCTCCCACACTTCTTTTAGCCATATTTACTCAAATGCAGGCAATGCATTTTGAAATCTTTGCTTGTTTTTCTGCCTCAAACATGCATATAAAGATGAAGTGTTTTCAGCTATTTTCTCCTAAGGCTTTCCATTTAAATTTTCTACATCATTTCACTTTAAAATATAGTAAAATCTAAGCAGCAGAAGAGGGAAATGGTATGTAGTGGGTAGAGATCTGAATAGGCAGCTAGGGATTCAAGTTTCTAAATCCAGCTTTATTTCGAGTTGCGCAGTGAAGCATTCCTTACTTACCACTTGTACATTTTTAACATCACATACACAGAAATGACATTGCACTTGGCTTTGTCTGCACTTGTCTCTAAAACAATGTGCACCCTGAAGGCAGAAACTATATTCTATTTTGCTTGGAAATCACAACAGTTATTATTCAAACATGGTTGCATAATATACAATGGTTACACAAAATAACCCAAGATTTCTATTAGATTTCACTTTCCACATGTAGTTTGAGCTTTCTTGTGAGACTTTATTGATTTGGGTATCTCAGTGCTCTAAGGGGCACTGGGTACTGCAAATATGTCCACAGTGAAGTACTTAGGCACATGTGAGATTTTTGCTAAGTGCGTTATAAATTCAAGAGGAACTTCTAGGTTATAATGAGCTTTACAAGGTAAAACCTGGAAAGGAATTGTTAGGTCGAAACGGCTGGGTGTTGCCAAGGCAGCTACAGAAAGTAGTGGTCTTCATTAAGGCATAGCAAGGGTGAGGTAAGAGTGTGTTTGCAGAGATGTGAGGCTAGGTGGTGCCTGCCATTATGATGCTTAAAAAGAGGCAAAGGACCCAAATAGACACTTCTCCAAAGACAACATACATATGGCTGATAGATATATGAAAAATTGCTCAGCACTGCTAATCATCAGAGGAATGCAAATTAAAACCACTATGAGATATCACCTCATACCTGTCAGAATGGCTATCATTAATAAATCAATGAACAAGTGCTGGCAAGGATGTAGAGAAAAGGGAACCCTCATGCACTGTTGGTGGAAATGTAGACTGGTACAGGCACTATGGAAAGCAGTATGGAAATACCTCCAAAAATTAAACATGAAACTGCCTTGTGACCTACCGATTCCTTCCACTTCTGGGAATTTATTGAAAGAAATCCAAAACACTGATTCAAAAAAGTACATGCACTCCTATGTTCTTTACAGCATTATTTACAATAACCAAGATTTGGAAGCAGCCCAAGTGTCCATCAGTAGGTGAGTGAATAAAAAAGCTGTGGTACATTTATACAGTGGAAATACTCAGCTGTAAAAAAGAAGAAAGTTTTACCCTTTTGACAGCACTGATGGACATGGAGAGCATTATGTTAAGTGAAATAAGCCAGTCAGAAAAAGACAAATACCATATGATTTCACTCACATGTGGAATCTAATGAACAGAATGAGCTAACAAACAGAATACTGATAGGCTCATAGATAGAGAGCAGGCTGATAGCTCTTGGTGAGGGTGCAGCAGGGAAAAGGAGGGATAGAACAAAAGAAAGGAAAAAAGCTCATGGACATGGACAACAGTGTGGTGACTGCTTGGGGGAGAAGGGTTGGGAGAGGTGGAGGAAGGTATATGGGGGATAAATGGAGATGGAAAGAGACTTGACTTGCAGTGGTGAACATACAATACTGTGTACAGATGACTATAGAACTGTGCACTTGAAACCTGTATAATTTTGTTAACCAGTGTCACCCCAATAAACTCAATAAAAAAGAAAAAAGATGCTTCAAATGAATGTCTTAAAAGAAGCTTTTTTTTCAAATGTCATTCTTACTTTTATTTTACTTTTTTTTAAATAGATTTTTTTTAATTTTATTTAGTTATTTTTCAAGTACAGTTTAAGAGCAAGTGCCTTTCCTGGGAGTCCTGCAACCAATATCAAACTTCCAAGGTACCATTGCACTTAGGAATAATATTAATAACTTCTGTCTTTTCTTTAGCACCTACTATCTGCCAGCCACTATATTAGTCATTTGATATATCTCATCTAATATTTATAAGAAATGTATAAAGTAAATATTAGTCTTCATTTTACAGATGAGAAACCTGAGACTCAGAGGATTGCATAACAAACCCAAAGTATCATAGCTAGGAAGTGGTGGACAGGGATTTGAAACCAGGCTGGTCTGACCCCAGAGTCAGTTCTCCTATTGCAACATTCTATTGCAGGAAGACATGCTGTAGATGCACCTGCCAGCTGATGCCTTAAGAGGGAGGCTGAAAGGCTTTAGTGAGGCCCATTGCTGACAAATGTCAGCAAGGAGGGTGATGGCACCACAAGCCCAATGCCTGAAGGTGCTTTGGAGCTACTACCCAGAGTCACCACACAGCCCTGCCAGCAGAGGAGCAATGCCAGGCGGGGAGCCTGATGGGTTGGAGGGGTCTCCAGCCCTCCTTGCCACCCTAGTCCAAGCACACTTTGACCTCTAAGGAGAGGAGACAACCAGTGTCACCCCAATAAGTTCAATAAAAAAGAAAAAATGCTTTAAATAAATGTCTTAAAGGAAGCTTTTTTTAAAAAGAGAACAAATAATGATTTTTTTCCTTGAAACCTAGTGAGGGCTTCAGGGAAAATTAAAATGTAATCTGACCTATAGATTGCAAATGAGGGTAAGCACTAGAAAATGAGGATTTCCTAAGGAAAAAATACATTCATAATACAATAAGGAACCTTTATGCATGCCCACCTGGGCACTGATTACAGGAAAAGATAAGGAGACATGGAAGAAGCAATTTCTTGGCAAAATAGAATGGATGTAAGAGATGAAAGGGACAAACAGAGAGAATTGCCGGGAAGTATATGTAAAGCTAGCAACTGAGTTAAGCGGCTACTAATATAGGAGAAAATATGTGGGTTATCAAACTCCCAAAGAATGGGTGACTTTCTCAAGAAGCACTTTTAAGATAATTATGTGGAATAAGTAAGTGAGAAACCAAGAATATTCCTGTGGATAAGCACAACCTGTTTAGCACAGGGTACAAGTTCCCAAGAATGGGGGCACTTTGATCAGAGTAGGTCAGGGCCATCAGCTCACAGCATGCCCCCCCACCAGTGAGAGAGAAGATCCCACAATACTTTCTGCCATGCTTACAGAGCCTAAGGATAGAGGCGCATTGCCACCAATCCCCAAATGATGGCTGTTGCTATCTTCTGCTTCCTCTCCAGCCCCGCAAAACACCTGAGGCAGCCATGGCACCTATGTTCTATGCTGTGTTGTGATCTTCTTTAGCCCAAGTGATGCTGAGGCAGAGACTGGGCAGCAGTGTCTGAGGCAGGACAGGGAGGCACACCAGTGCTCCAGACACGTGCTACTTGTTGGCTGAATGCAAGCATCAAAGACTGCTGTTTCTTGTGTATTCGGTAAATGTTCATGGGAAAAAGACTTTTCTTTCTGGGTCATTAGGGTGTTTGAAAGAAAAATGTAGTTATACTTTTTTGTATTAAAATATTTCTGAGATAAATGAGGCTGTAATGAATTAGTGCTACAAGAAGCAGCACTTAAAGAGGCTGCCCTATTTTGATCACTTCACGGATGTCACAGTATTATCACAACCAAATGGGAATGCCAGGCAGGTGCCGCTATTCAAAACATACTGAAGTTACAGAAATTGTCAAAGAAGGCATGGCAACATAAAGTATAGAAAGAAATAAATTAGTGTTTCTGAGATTGAAATGAACATTTAAGTTTTGTTTTAGGTTGGCTCTATGATTGCAGAAGAAATAATACAAAAGAATACAAAGCAGAGCACATGGAAGTGGGTGGCAATGACACACTCACCCGATGACATGTTAAAGTGTGTTATTGATCATTGTGTTCTTCATCACAAAAGTGAGATTTACAGACTCGCCTTCATATGCAATAGATGCCAGGCAAGGATGACTTGGCAGTTGGAGGTGATCTGTGAATGTGGGTGCATAGTAAAGGAACAGCCCAGGAACCAAAACACAAATGAAAGAGAAGAAAAAAAGAGTTGCTAAGTACAGCCAAGACCAAGGTGGAAATTAACATCAGCCATAACATCGACCAC